CAATTTCTTTCCCATTCTAGAAGTTTAATATGCTAGCTCCAAAGCTACTCCTGCTGGCCAGGATTGGGAACTGGACATGTTTCTTTCACATGGTATTGTGGGTATTAACTGGGAGTTGGGAAAAAACCCTTCAGGTCTCTTCTCCCTGACTTCAGGGTGACACAGTGATGTTGATCTCCTGGAAAGTCATGTAGAAATGGGCCTGAGTTAAAAAGGTCAGATCTGGATCTGAACGCTTTCCAAGCTCAAGGGTTTTAGATCTAGGGGTTTGTTGCTGGCCTGTCCCTAAGTAAATGGGCACAAATGTGTTAATCTTTCCAAAGTTCAACATACTTGTCAATAAACTCAGTTATGAGGAGATGTAGAATATTCAACATGCACCCAGTCATTCTTTGCTTCACATACACCAGACACGTACATGAAATCAAAGCCACATAACAACTGGAGAGAAACTGAAACAGAGAAGAGAAAATTGTGAGGGAATGACGGGTAACAAACCCACGTCCATAGGCAGTCCTCAGACTGCAGACACCACCCAGCAGCTTGCTGGGACCAGCAGGGAGTGTGAGCTGGTGCACCCTAGCTCACCAGTGGTACCTCCTACGAAGCTCCTGATTGGAGGAGACATGCAGCCTCTTCAAATGCCTCAGAGTCATTACTTAAGCCAAGAGGCACAGGAAATTGTCTGAGCAACTAGGTCATCCTCCTTGATAAACCTGCAGAAAACCAGGAAGCCTTCCTGTCTTTTCACCATTCCTTGACTGCTGACTATCTGCTCCTCCATCACCAATTTCCCTTCCTCAGGATGTCCCCGCATCCTTCATCTGCAGCAGTAAATGGGAGACTCTGTTTGGGATATAGCCTCCTTTGTGGCCGACCAGGCCAAAACTCACCCAAAATGGTTTGGACTGGCTATGTTGAAATGTACACAGTAGATTTTAACAGGACAGAGAACGATTCCTTCAATAGGCTCTGGATACAACCACCAGGGAGAAGCCAGGGCTATAATTTTTGTGCCCTATTGGAATGATATCTAGATATGCTTGGTATCTTGATATCTGGTATCAATGGGGATTTAAATGCAGAGGGAAAGCAGATCAAGAATAGATAGGAAAGAATTGTAGAAAGAAAAGTATTTATTGCAAATAGTGTGACACTGCCATATAAGACCATGAACAGGGCATGTTTTATAACTCCTAAATTCCGGCTTGTCCCAAGAGGTGGATAACATCCAAACCACCAAATAGGGAGGGTTAGGCAGTTAGTACAGTGTTCATGTGACAATGCAGGCACTTCAGGCTTTTGTGATTGGTACTTCTGTGCTGGTCCGCAGTGTATGTGCAGCTTGAGTCCCTTTCCTCTGCCTATAATAAAACCTACAATGAATCTTGTGCTGCTGCAAACCCCATGCATCGCTGAATATAAGCGGCTGGTACAACCAAGTTCTTAACCTAGTTAACTGGTGCAGTTCCCTGAAATGGTTGAGAACTAGCATGACTGCAAATAACCTGGCCCAAGAGTCCTTTTCCTTTACAAAGAAACATGCTTTACAGCACTGTGTAACCAAGAGACCCCCAGAATAGGGGGAAATCAAAAGCTTCAGGAAATTCAATGGAAGGCCACAGAATGCACTCCTGAAATGTACACATTTTCTCTGTGTACCAAACTCTCAGATTATGCAGCACCAACTCTTTTATATGAGAAACTGTTGAAAGAATATAACCATCAGCAGATGGAGAATGTTTTCCATTTATCCAAAGAAACAACATTAATTTGAGCTGTTAAAAGACAAGAAACCTGTTAAAAGAAATTTTTAAAAAAGGATTTCCTGCCTAGCAAACGCTACAATCTCATTTTGGAAAATAAGTGGCTGTGAAAGGGATGTGGCTATTCAAAGAATAAACACTGTGTGCTACTGGGCCCTCAGAGGGTTTGTTTGACTGAGGGGGAACAGTTCTCTCTCTCTTTAACCTGATCCCACAGGTCTATTTCTTCAAACTCTCCGAAACGGAGATCAGGCTGGAGAAGAATATGAGTTTTCTCTGCCAGTAATTCCAAGCATAGACTGCATGCAAAATGTTCATTTAAAATGTGTAAATGACAGGGAAATAGTCACAGGGGAACTTGACTTAAGAGGTCGGTTCACAGCTTGTGATTTAATGATCACACATCACTGTAGCCTCACATTGCTTTGTTGCTGTGTGTGAGTGAGAGACAGAAACAGACAGACCAAAGGACAGACTGATGGTCAGATGAAGAGACAGAGGAGACACACTACCCCTTGGGGTGAGATATTGAATGCGATTTATTTTCCTCAATGTGCAGAACATGGCAAAGCTAGGAATGCCTTATTCAATGCTCGGAAAAGCAGAAATAGGTCATTATTTCAGCCCCAGGGGTGATGCTCACTCTTTATAGCATATCTGAGGCATTACTGTCAAAGCCACATGTACTTTGTGGGAAGCTAACTCTACAGGACACCCTGTATCTGCAGGACACCCTGACTGCAGAACTGTGCTCAAGGCTAACTTTTCACTTTATAAAAAAGTTACATTTCAAGCCCTCATAGTTGGGAAGATAGCATTGCATCTGTTTACATTTGGTTCCTGTTTTCAAGGTTGTCTTCTTAAGTCAGCAGATAACCTGAAACAATGCCTCTGAGAGAGGTGAAATGGTGGTTGCTGTAGGGTGCCCTGAAATGCCAGATGAGCCTGCAAGGCATTTCTCACCTTCTCAGGTATCCTTCACCTGTTTGTGCCACCCTTAGAGCTTTATCCTGGACTTGGGGATGTTCCTGAGTGGGCAGAGTGGCTGTTCATTTAGCTCTGTGGAACTAATCAGAATCCTGTGGGAGCAAGAGCAGTTAAAAGAACCACTTTTTATTCCTGTTACCCAGCTCACTACACAGCTCTCATCCCTTCTCCTGACAAAGTAACCATTCTGTAAATCTTCTCCAAACACGGAGAGGTGCGTGGGGAAGGGGAACCAAGAAGCTGAAATCCTGTTTCATGGAATGCTTAGTGCAAAGGCGAGACTGCACTGATTGAGGTACTTGGCGTGTCTATCGATAGCCCCTTTCCAATCCGTGATCTCAAAGCACTCAAGATGGTCTAGCACTAATGACCCTCTTTGCACTTCATGGGGAATAAATTCTAATGGAGAGCTGATGGTGTCTCCCCTACTAGGGCCCTCTTGGGGATGCTTGCTATGGAAGGGATCCTTCTTCGCTCCCAGTGGGCGCTCCATGGGAATCCTGTGAGCAGGAATCACTGCAAAGAGGTGTTCATTCATTGTACTGCCAGGCTGCCTGGACACCCCCTTTCACCAGCTAGCACAGCCTACATTGGGGCTACACTGGCCTTCTACATTCCCCTGCCTGTTCCCCCAGTGCAAGGAAGTTTGTGGCCACTTTCCACTGTAACCTCCTCCCTTAGCGGAGTTGCTGTCCCCACAGACCTCTGCTACACTCTGTGCCAGCAAAATCTGATATAGACCTGGCTGTTAATTAAAACCCATTTGAGTTAAGTGAGAGATACTGAGAACAATTCACCCACCACTGAAATGCAGCCATCTCCCCAGTGGAACATAGCACCTGTATAACAATGCATGCTGCTGGTGCACCAAGACCACTGCCCATCGTGCTGTCCATTGTTTCCTTTCCCTTCCCTGCCTGTCTGTATCCATCTGTTGTCTCTTGTCTTATACTTAAATTGTAAGCTCCTCAGGGCAAGGGCCATCTTTTGTTCTGTGTTAGTACAACACATACCACAATGGGGTCCTGGTCCTTGACTGGGGATCCTAAGCAACATGGTATGTAATTAATAGATTATAATAATAACAATAATTAATAATAATAATAATAAAATGATATTATATTTTAGATAAAATGAATAATACAGAACCCAGTGGGAATTGCAAAGGGAACATAGGCAGACAGAATGTAATTACCTCCGCTGGAATTTGGCCAGGACCCATATTTTTACTTTAACAGAAAGTGACACAGGATCTGTAATGACTGCAAGTGATAAGAGCCTCATTTTTTACATCTGGTTGAAAAAATAGTACTTCGAGCAGCCTGGTGCCCCCTAACCCTATGCTTGGAGTGGAGAACAATACATACTGAATCATCAGGCTCACTTCCTGCACCACCAGAGTGTGTCGGGGAGGCGTCCTGTCCAACAACTGACCGTGGTCAATCATGGTTAGGTTATAGAGCTAACATGATCAGAAAACAAGGTACGCTGCCTGCAGACTGAAATATGAGCATTTAAGAGACAGTCTGAGCCCTCCAAGCAGTAATCCCCTTCCCTCCCAACACATTCTCTAGCTCCTCCATTTTGAGCCATAACATAGGTTTGATTGAAGATATCTGGGATCTATATTCAATTTCTATGCCAGCAGAGGCTGCTGAAAGGACAGACCCCATTCAGTTCAGCTGCATGCTGAATGTTAGATCCCATGTGGCTTTTGTGGACCTTGTTCAGAGTTTTGGCTATTTCCTTCCTGTCCCACATCAGTGAGCTGCTCTTCTGAAACACCTGCGCCAAATTAACCTACATGTCCTAGTTACTGAGCCAGATTTGTCTCCACACCAAAAAAGAAGCCAGTGGAAGATTCACTGCAGAACAACCTGAAAGCAGGGTGAAGTTCTGCTCTCAGTTACTTCCATCCCAGACAAGTTCAAAACACCAGATCTGTCCAGAAACCAGGACCCATTTGTGGCAGCATCATAAAGTCCCCTATGAAGGAAGTTAAAACAACACCATGGTGTGAGACAAGGAAAGAAGTGTGAGTCCTGCCTCTGCTTTACAATCTCTTTCCTGATGCTATAAATAACAGCAGTGAGTGTCACTTCAAAGGGAAGGGGTAGCTGATGAGAGGTGCTTTGGGGACTGATGGGGATGGGGGCGTCGCAAGGTCTGATCCCACCCAGAAACTTTGCATAAATAAATAAATCATTGCACAGAGAAAGAGAGAGAGGGAGAGCAGAGGAGGTTACTTTGGGAAGCAGTACAGCTTGCTCATCCGATCCGTGTAGTTCAGAGAGAGTGTGTCATGTTACAGAGAAGCCAGGATCAGCCACAGTGCAACTCCAAAGCAGTTGAGAATTACCTCTCTCTAATGGGGACTTTCATGTGCAATCTCTTAACCACTCTGCTAAGGAACTGAAACTGACAAACCTAGAGGGAGAGGAAAAGAACAACAAACAAAAAAGACTGAAAGACACAAACTGATCTGATTATTTTCCCCTAAACTTTTCTGGAGTTGGATCCTTTCTTTTTTTAAATCACTTTTTCCCCCTTTTTATCCGTACAATTTTGTTGTTGTTGTTATAATTTCTATTATTCAGTGGCATTGGGATTCCCTCGGACGCTGCTCTTCCATGAATTCTGGATTGTTCTTCTTGGAGTGGGATTGAAACTTTATTTATTCTATTTATTTATTTATTGTTTCTCAGGAGAGGGAGGGAATGTTGGAGGAGAAGGGCTGGAAAGGTGCTAGCAATGGTGCCTTTGACAGGGGGTGCATTGCTCCCCCCAGGACAGGGGATGGAGAAAGATGCTGCAGGTTTCCTCTACTGCTGGGCTCTGGGCTTCCTGGGGTGTCTTTGATTTCTCTGGTGCTGAGCCTCCTGCTATACTTTAGGACATCAGACCTGCAATCCAGGGTTTCACATTTGGAAGCAGACAGATGCACTCAGCTCCCTGCCTGGCTCTCTGCAGACCAAATGGAGACAGCTATTTTGGGAAGAGTTGACCAACTGCTTGATGAGGTCTGTGTGCTTTCATTTTCATATAAATATATATTTTAGCTTTTTCTATTTTGCTTAAAGAATTTTCTAAGCAAATGATACAGCCGAGTGCCTGTTAACTCATTAAGATGTGAATCCCCTCAGATCGCTCCCCTTTAGCCCTCCTTCTTTATAAGCAGCTCAGATTTTGCTTCTGTCTGACAAAGTCTATGATTTGTCTGAGCTTTCACGGTTTTAAAATTAGAGAGTTTTGTTTCTTTTCCCCAAGAAAGGGCCCCTCTATAGCATCAGTTTTTAGCTTCAGTCTGGTAATGAGGGGTTTTCGATTCACATGAGATGACAGAATACCAGTAGGGATAGGTACACAGGGTGCAATTCAGAGACCAGATTTAAACATCACATTAACAGTTTAAAACAAATAGAAAAATTCATCACCAGCTGAACTGAACATGCCTGGGAACAGCCTGGTGATAGTAGCAAAGGTACCCATACTGTGACAGGTAAACTGGGAAAAGCAGCGGGCAGAGACAGGTAAATATGATGATGAGCTGATTCCTAGATGCTTTGTTTCAAAGCAGTTTGGAAGCAATTCCCCTTTATTTCAATCCAAACTACTTTTACAGTAGTTTGGAAAATAAAAAGACAAATATTGCTAGAGTCCTTCTAGGTATTAACAGAAGTTCATACTCCCGAGCTCTTCTCTGGCTTAAGCACTTAGGGCCTGATCCAAACACTACTAAAGTCAATGAGAGTCTGTCTGTGGAGTCCATTGGGCTGTGGATCAGATTCTTAGATACTACCGTGATAGCTCCTGTCAAAAAAACTTAGACAGACAGACCGATAGATTAATGAGTCATATTGTGCATCCGAAAGCTCAGAGATAAACCCCTCCAACCCTGAAAGATCTCCCATTTCATCATTGTAATGTACCCACTTCATGTTTCTAATCATACAATTACAGATATGTAGGGCTGGAAGTCATCTAATCCAGCCCCCTGCATTGAGGCAGGACCAAGTCTACCTAGACCACCCCTGACAGGTGTTTGTCCAACAGGTTCTTAAAAACCTCCAGTGACAGAGATTCCACAACCTCCCTTGGAAGCCAATTCCAGAGTTTAACAATCCCTATAGTTAGAACATTTTTCCTAATATCTATCTTCAATCTCCTTTGTTGCAGATTAAGCCCATTACTTCTTTTCCTACCTTTAGTGGACATACAGAATAATATATCACTGTCCTCTTTAAAGCAGCCCTTAATGTATATGACTGTTATCAGGTCCTCCTTCAGTCTTAATTTCTCATGACTAAACATGCCAAGTTTTTTTAACCTTCTTCATAGCTCAGGTTTTCTAAGCCTTTTATCATGTTTGTAGCTCTCCTCTGGACTCTTTCTAATATGTCTACATCTTTCCTATAGTGTGGTGCCAAGAATTGGACACAGTACTCCAGCTGAGGCCTCACCAGTGCCCAGTAGAGCATGACAGTTAGTCTTACATAGGACACTACTGTTAATACAATGCATTTGTTCTTCTCAATTGTTGTTGATGGCCAACTTTTAAAATCCTGTACAGCTTGTGGGTTTTGCTGTGGTTCTGACAAGTGCTCACTTGTCCAAACCGGTCAAAGATGCCGAACTTTGGTGTGCACTGACTCAAATGACCAGGGAGGATATTCTGTGATTCCCAGAGAGATCTGCGGGAGGGGGGGGGGGTGGGGTGGAGAGGAGGAGGAGGGAGCACGCTAGGTCTTTTTTTTCTCTTTCACTGTGCAAACCACTCCAGCTTTTGCTCAGGTCAGAAGTATCACAGATTCGTATAAATGTGGGGTATGGAAAGGACTGGTGTCAGACCCATTAGCTTATAAAAATGGAGCTAGTTTCTGCAGCCCACTGTGCTCCATTATTTCATTCACATATTGCAATATTAGGAAACTAGTCAAGGAACAAAGTAATAAAACCATTGAGAGCTGCATTCCCCTGGAACACCAGCAAACAATGAATAAGAGCAGCACCATGACTCTGCCATTGTCTCATCATACTCTGAGAGAGGATTTTTGGCACAGGTTAAAATAATGGGGGGTTCTGGATAAAATATCGCTGTACTGCATGTAATGACTCTGAGTGCTTGATATCTGTGGATGGTTCTTTGACAGCCTGATTAGCTTGCAGATGAGCTCTTTAATAGCTAACATTGATATGGCACTGCTGTGAGGAAGCTCACACCGCTGAACTCCTAGCTGGGATTGGCAGGGCACAACCCTACAAGCCCACACTACTGGAGTCCTAGTAATGCACTTCTGTGAAGTAGATCACATTGCTAAAGTCCTACTGACCTATGTGGGGCACTGCCATGAAGGGGCTCACACACTGTTCACTTCCCAGCTGACCCTGGGAGAATGGGAATATGAAGGAAGTCCCTATCGCTGGAGTCCCTGCTGGTATTAACAGGACACTGGTGTAAGGAAGCTGGCATACCAGACAGCACTGCTAGGACATTGCCCTGCGAAAGCTTCAAAATTATAACAGAACTCAATGAAAGAAGTTAGGTTCTCTAAGAGAAAATGAATCTGATTCTCCTGTTACACCAGATTTACACTGTTGTGACTGCATCTACTTCAATGGAGTTATTCCTGATTTACACCCGTGTCCGTGAGAGGAGAATCAAACCCAGTAAACTATATGTTTTCTCTTCTAATAGCTAGTTCAACACTTTAGCGACACAAGTCCCCAGGAAGGATGTCAAAAGATAAGAAGGAAAGAGACAGAGCAAAAGCATAGAGGAGACAGGTAAAGGAGAGTAGAAAGGGAGACTGAGAAAGAAGATTGAAAGGGAGGGAGAACAAGAATGGGAAAAGCAAGAGAGGGAGACAGAAACTGGTGGAATATGAGAGAAAGTGTCTGGGAGATCACTTTAGAGGAAGGGTGAGCAAGGAAGCATATTCATCCCCTTCTCTTTCAGAGCGTCAGGCCTCTTACGGCCACATCCTCCTGGACAAACTACACTCTCCCTCGATGTTTTGACCTTAATGAGTTATACAGCTGCCAGTTTCATAGAATTCAGCACAAAATAATGTTTTTAAAAAAATCCCCAGACTTCCAAAGCTATGGAATCCGTCCTAATTGGGGGAGGGGGGAACTGCTGGGGTAAGGAGAAGGACATGGAGTGAAGCAGCCCGGCATCCTCCTTTCAATTGTGTCAGGGGGTGAGGCTGGGGGGACACCTGTATTTGTGGACTGGGGATTTTGTGAGTGTGTATGTACATGTATTGGGCTTGGATTCACATGCATGTGGCTGTGTGTTCTCTGTGTGTGGATGTAAAGTCGATGTATGTATGAGAACTGTTACGGCATGTGTTTGTGTGTTTATTGTGAATGTGCAGTTTGTGTGGTGCATGTATGCAAGTGTGTTGTAAATGGACGTGTGGTGAGGTGTTTATATGGGTGAGCGTATGCTTGAGAGTGGATTGTGATTGTGTGTCATTTTATGTTTCCCTGTGCGTGTTCAAGCTGAGTTACCACCACATACCTTTATAGGGGAAGCACATTGGGAAGACTAAGGGCCCAGTACTCACCTGTGCTCTGGTGGCATAAAGGGGATACCAATGGCACTCTGGGACTAGTCCTTTGTAAGCAGGTTTCTCAGCTAGCTTATATCTGCCAGAATGGCTCCACACTGCCATCCCCACAAGGAGTAAGAGGTGTGCCAGGGCAGGCAGGGAAAAACAGAAGGTGAGGGTGTGGTTGGACCATGCTGGACTCTGGCTGCTCTTGCCTGGGGTTGGTCCAGGTGTTCTTGCCTGGGGGCAGCCAGTGCAGTCATAGTGTAAGTTCCAGCTTGCACCAGGGGCATGAAAGAGTCCCAGCTTCCCTGAAAACATGGGGATGTGAAGGAGGTTGGTAGCCATATGTCCCCCCATCCACACCCCGTTCCTCCGTGAAGAGCAGGAATGGAGCAACAGAGAATTGGTGCCTAAATACATAAGTGATCTGGCAAGATTCTCACTCACACAGAGAACATTTGTGCCGCTTACACCCAGGTGAAGGACCCGTTCTTGCTTCCCATGGAGAGTGAGGAATCACCTGGAGAAACACATCCAGCACAACAAAAAGCCACTCTCATCCATTTCAATTTCCTCTTCTTCCCAGGAGCTGTATCCACAAGCTATTCCATGTGAGCATCTACCTCCAGTTCAGGTTGTTCCAGTGCTGCCCACTCTCACATTTCTATCCTAAATCTTGTGATATTTGTTGTCTTTGTAAAGCCACAGCTCCTGGGGTCAGGGCATTACATGAGAATCTCAGCTTTCGTTTTTTTTAAATGTAAGTTTCTAGCTGTCATAGTTGCAGAGAAAAGCTCGAGAGACTCAGGAACCAGAAGGCAAATAAAAAGAAATCAAAACTTATCATTTTTTAAAATCTTGTGTTTTTTAATCAAATCTCGTGATTTTTTTTAACCTAACTCTCATACTTAGTGTTGGCTACACTGCTGTTCCTCCCTTCAGTCCAATAGAATTAACAGACTGGTGGGCAGTCCTCTACAGAGTCAGTCTGACTAGTGCAGACTTCATTAGCTACTGTCAAAACTTCTCACTATGGTCATGTGCAGTAAATACTGGGCTGGAATTTTCTGCCAGCCAGGAATGGATTCTACGTCTTTCCCTGAAAAAGTCTGCGCTGACTAGGACTGATATGGATGTTTCTGAGAAAACTTTGGCTGCAGGCTAGAATTCCTCTGTATTTATGGTGCATGAGAAAAATCAAATAAAAAGTGCAAATAAACTGTACAGTTGGCACTGAAAGCCGAGGCAGTGATTTGAAAAGAGGCAAACAAAGCATTTCCCCATGCTGGTGAACATGTGGGCTTGTCTCTCCTTGACAAAAGCTCAGTAGGATGGAGCACAGGGTGTTCTCAGGGCTACCTGCTCACAATACATGAAGAAGTGGTGAATTTCCAGAGTTGGGAATTCATCTTTTTTACATAATTTAAAAACAATCATCATCCTGAAAACTCCCAGGAAACAGA